TGCAGCTGTTGTTCCCAACAGCAGATTCTGCACGCCCATTTTCTATGCTTGGACTTGGGGACATTTTAATCCCTTGGTATGCTGTTAATCAAGCATCTGCTTTTTTTTTTTTTGGTTTTCCTGGGTTTTGCTGGAGTAGACTGCAATTATTTTGATTTATTGAAAGATTATGCTTTGTGTTTTAATAGGTCCTTTTCCATTACTATTTCTATTATTCTTTAATATAATGAAATATTGCCAAGCAAAATAACAGGAAACACTGGTGCAATGTGGGGTATCATAGTTTATTGTTTTTTTTTCTTGAGTTATTCAAATGAGCTTATTGATCAGCAGTAATGCATGTTCTTTTAATCTCGTAAGGATTAGGTTATAAATCTTACTTTGCAATCATTATCAGTTTGGCTACAGCTTAAGTGATTATGGTAAGATCCCTTATGGTTTGGAAAAGATATTGTGACACCGGGTTTGTATCATGAAAACTATTATCTTTGATGTATTTACCAAAAGAACATCTGCTGATATTATGGATATCATGAAAACTATTTTCCAAATAGTATCATATTATTTTGAGCTAATATTCTTTGGCAGCAAATACGAAACCTTTTTTAAGGACTGCATATGAATCTTTCAGTCATTTATATCAAAATTTTCTGGGTCCACTTGTTGGTAGCGAATTTATTTGGTTAAAACCTGCAAGTGGTTTGCGTTCAGGAAAAAAAAACTTGTAAGTGGTAGTCATGCCTGACTAGTTCACGAGATATTAATATGCGTGCAAAAGAAAAGTTAAAAGTATATCCATTCCTTGTTTCTAAGATTGGTTGTTGCTTCTTTTCTGTTTCCAGGTATTTTTGTGGCATTGGCATTACGGTTTGATGTTTCCAGAGGCAAAGACAGCCAGTATTTTAAGAGTGCATTTTTTGGCTATGCATTCGGCGTTGTCCTTACTATTGTTGTTATGAATTGGTTCCAAGCTGCACAGGTTAGTCTAAGTATTTTAAGGATTTTGCTTCAGACTTTTTTCCTTAGTAGTCATATTGTACTAGTTAATCTAATTATTTGTGCTGTCTCCTT